GTTCTTTCGGATTCTAACGATTCGCCCGAAGTGCTGGCTTGCTGAAATTGATATTAGAACGCTTTGTAATTTTGTTATCATAGAAAAAACAGGTGAACTATGTGTCCGAAAAGTCATCTGACATCAAAATCCCTTTTATTTATATTTGTACTGTCTCTTACAGGCGCAGGTGGCCCTACCAAACCTTCCGGCCTTCCAAGCTTGGTTAATTGGTTTCAGACTCGTCTGCGAAAATAAAAGCACTGATAAAAGCGTTGGTTGGCTACTGCAAGTCATTGTAAGGCCAAATGCACCTTCATAACACCACTACAATTTTGAATGGAAGTAGAGTGCTGGAGCGCATCCTACGATTAACAATCCTATAGCCAATGACTTTTCTCCGACCTCTATGTCCTTCAAGGTTCATGGTGAAGTTGGTGAGGTGAAGGAGCGCAATTGTGCACTCATATCCATTATTTTTGGACGGCGACAATGGATTACGGTATTACATATCATGGTCACAACGCGCATATGGTAGGCAATAAGAGTACAACAGTGAGTTGAACAGTTCCTCTGTTCGAGCCCAGACACTGGCCCTGATGTGGGATTTGAGCTTTTCCTGAAACGTCCCACATGGGGAGGAGCATCTCGATTTGTGCTGTCTGTTGAGAATGTTTAGTAAGTAATAAGTATCTGCAACTTTGTGGTATAGAGTTTACATGAGTGCTTGCCCATTTTGCATTATATGCCTACATCCTTGCAATTATTCTTTTTGAAATAATCATTTCAACGCAGGTGTAAACACAGTAAAAATCAATAAGAATCGATAATACCAGCAACGTGTGGGAGCTAGGCTGTCGTGGCAGGAGAATCGGAGCGGCGACCTTCGGAGGTGAGTTGGTGCGTTTACGGAAGGAAATCCGTGACCTGGCATCCGATGATAGCGATTCGCTTGAAGACCTGGAACAATTTGATCAAATATGAAACCCAGTACTGCTCTCCTCGTGGTAATCCTAAAATATTATAGTAAGCGGTGTACAGGTGTATGTCACGGCGATGTACTCGATGCAACTACAAGCGCTGTTTTCATCTGTGAAAATGTTGGTGTTCAAGAAACAGCACAAACCTTGTGCTCTCCGAATATGATGTCGAATTCCTCGGTGAGGTTATGTGAACTACCGACTTCTGATTGATGCTGACCGACGACTTCTTTTGCTTCGGCTGCTTCATGGGCATCGGCAAAACCTACAAGTATATGGAAACTGGTATTTAGTTCAATGGAAGAATTAAAAATCTACCACCAGTAACTCCTTTGTTCACCAACCTTGTGAAATGAGACACTAGAGGCTCTCCTGTCACTCTCTTTCAGTCGATCTTGCCCTCGATAAACGGCAGCCTCGATTCCTAGACAGAATGTGTCTCTATACAAACAGTTATATTACTGCGATAGTAATGGTACTGGCTATTAAAGTAATGCCAATTGATTTTCAAAACATACCATCCAGGGCCTCAAGCATTGGGGGTGACGCAGCTTTGACGGAGTCGCTGGGTGGGCCACCTTGGTAGTGATGAGTAGCTCGTTCACCATCGTATTTCTGCATAGATCGAGGTACTCGATAGCAGTGACAAGCAGTAAACTAAAGTACCTACTGAAAAAGATCCAGTAATCGAGGCAGCCAAACGTCGGGCCAGTACAGCGCTTACACCGGCCCTTGGCTTGATCTGGATATCCTCTCTCGGTCGAACTAGACCTTCCGGAGGGCTTTCCTCGAACTGAAAGCTCAAATGGTCATTGAACTGTTTTACAGAAAAGTTAAAAACGTTAGTTCAAACGTACTCACAAAATATTTTGGATTGCAAATACTACCAAAAAGTATTGATTGCCAGGACCCACCTCTTTTTGCAGCGTTGAAGTTTCACATACAACAAGATCAAGGGAAGGCGGTGGCTCGTCGAAATCATCGGTGAGGGAGTCCGACGACTCGCCGCCAATGGCTTCATTGTACTGCAACATTTGCTTACTTGAATCAAGTTCAGAAATATATATTTACTTTGATAAGTATTAAAAATAATCTTTTCATCATCTACTTTCATCTTGTAAACGTGGGTTATTTGCAAAACTGCTTATTTCTTTCATTACTGCTATGGAATTATTGTCTTGTGCTACTCTTCGTAATCTCTGAAGTAAGCCAAAGTATGGAACAACTAACAACAACAGAGATTAGCACAACTGGTCACGGGTTCGATCCCAGCCGGAGCAAACGACTATTTCAAAAATGACACTATCATCGATAAGCAATAGGTTGATGAGCTACTAGGTGGATGAAACTGTCATGAAACCTTATGTTGAGGTTCGTAAAGGTTTACACAAAGCACTGTCATGTAAGTGGCAAACTGATAAAAAGACGATTTAAAAGTAATTGTACTATACTACTAGTGATGCATATTGTTCTAATTGCAGTCTATTCCATCAACCTGTCCCCGGTGGATCTTGAAAATCTATCAGGGGTGTGTGAATAAAGTTGAAGACCTCATTTGTTCTTCGTTGATTATATTCAAAGACGCTATTTGTTCTTTGGTGATTATATTCAGTCTTTTTGAATCTTATCACAAAAAAAGTTTTGTTTTATGTTATAGCCTATTGTACTTCTACTGTAACTCTGATGCTATCCCGAACTTACCATTGTATATTGCTTGAACAATAGCCCAACAAATAGACAAATAAGTAAATAGCCAAAAAGGATCCTGCAACTCACATAGGGAGCGGACGACGCAAACTGGAGAGCTCCTGTGCTCGATGACTTCACCAGACTGAGACGATTCTGATAAATCGATGTTCAGAAGTTTTTTTTTNATGGATTGCTCTGGATAAAGTATATCTGGTCCTGTATATACAGAGTTACTAATCATAAGCCATCCATGTCCGACTGGTTGTTTGTCGTAACGGATTCGTCAGGGGGAACAAGAAGGCTAATTTGATCGTTGAGTAATCCCTCTGCAACACAATCAGATACTACTACAACGCTGAAGATTCCCGAATATGATTTCAAGGGATCGAACAGATGTTTCCAAGCTCGAAGGCTCATGCACCCATTAGTGGTTACTGTCCGATACGTCCGACCTTAGCAACTACCATAGCACTTTCACTAAAGTGCAGAAAGTCTCTGCTAAAAGTGCAGGAACCCACAATATGTTTGGTTTCCAGCCGAACAGCTGTGCCTCTTGGAACTCTACAAGTTCATTGGGCAAGCTAAGGAAGTGTAAGAACAGAAGAGATGGGCAGCTGAAGAATATGGGACCCCTTGATTAATTAATTATTGTGGTCATACATACACAAAAAGTAGTGAAAGTTTTTTCTTGTTCATCTATTAGTTAAAACGTTCTAGAACTCAAACATATAAGCTAAAAAAGGTACCATTTTATTGCGTTGATTTAGATCCGATTGAGACTTTGGTTTGATGGAAGAGATAAACTTCTTGGCCTTGCGCCAATTTTCATATCGTGACTCCTCCAACCTGGCCGCTTTCAGATCTCCGACAGACCGTCCTTTGCTGAAGGGTCGCAGGGTAGCGATTTTGTTTAAAAACTCAACTTGAGCAGCAAATGAAGAGCCCACGGTCACTAACCTCGTCGATGGCTTATCCATGGCGTGTACCAATGCAAGTTCGGACTTTCTTCGATAGCCGTGGCTCGGCGACCGCATGGAGAATTGTTTTTCATCTGTAGCTATACATAACATTACCAAAGCAGCTTGATTTCCATATACTCGTTTTCTGTAGAGCAACAATATTTAATGATACACGGCCGTGATTGTCAAGACTATTTCGCTATTATCGGAGCTTGGCAATTGCAAGATCCATCAACGAAACCCAAGCCGCTACTCATACCAATACATTTCGTCTTGAATCGGTCAGGAGAAATAGTTGAGCGTGTTGATCTGCTAAACTATCACGCACTGCTATTTCTTCTGGGTTCTCATTTACCGGAAGTAATATGAGTTAATCCGGTATCATTAACCAAGACAAGGGTCGCAAGAAAGTTGTGGAGCGACTGGGAGCTAAAAAGTTGGCGTCAAAAAAAAAACACTGTTTTTTCCGAATTCAGTACATTCAGTCACGTTCTCTAACCAATTCTCGCTGAATTCCCTTGGAAGGTAACCTTTCAGTGGGACCTTGGAAGACCAAAAGTGCCGATTTCAGAAGTTATCACACAAATAGACTTACCTTTCCTGAGGTGGGACGTCTGAGGCGTATTGATGTAGTTGGGTAGACTCTTGCGATGTAAAACGTTGGCTGAACACCTTGAAATCGTCTCAGAAACAGTGAGGAGCAAATCGTCATTTTTCTTCACTTACCTAGCCGATTTTGAATAATGCTCTCTTTGTTCTGATAATTTTCGTAATTTGCCGTCACTGCAGGCTCAAATCGGCTCGCTTTTCTTGACGTGGCGTATACTGAAATGATGCCCTCTGAGATCGCTCAGCTGATGGTAGTATTTTCTTCAGTTGTCACGCAAATTTGAAAAATATTACTGCGGAAATCAATTACTGTACTCCACGGGTTCATTATTAGCCGTAGGAACACAACCATTCGCATTTTCGTAGTTGCCAGGAAAACGGATAGGTCAAAAGCCACTTGCAAGCCTCACATCCCGAGAGACTATCTCTCCATGTCATCCTTTCCATTCTTCAAATTCACCAGTTCCCCAAATGGACTTATTTCGATCGGAACAATAAAAAATAACAAAATCAGTTGTCCCGATTCTATAACAATATACAGAGCTCTGAGAGTTATGACACACTTTCGAGAAGATCTTCCTTACTGCTTTTTCGGCACTTTATAGGTCTGCAGAATCCCCGAAACGC